TGCCCATCTCATGGCTGTGCCATTGGCAGCAGCGGTTAGGGGCCAAGCAGAGATCTTCTGCTTGGGACAGCAGAAGCTGGGGATGCTGGAGGGTGGTAACACGGTGTGCAACACGCTTCCAAGGGAGGCTGCAGGACCTGGAGGTGGCTGGTTTGGGTTGTTCTGCGTTGTTTTCCATCTTGTCTCCATTGTTTGGAAGCCTCGAGGAGAAATAACCATGGAAGTGTCCCCTCTTGATGTTCTGGGGGATTTGTGTCCTATAGCACAACTAATTGTTTGGTGTGGCAGGGGATGGGGACTGAGGTGCCACCACCATCTGGCAGAAATGAGACGGTTCATCTGTCTGGGACGAAGCCCCAGGGACAGGTGAGAACAAGCCATGCACAAGAGAGGAAAAACCAAGGACGGAGAGGAAAGGAGAAAAAGTTGTGGAAGAGCCTGGGAGGAAAGAAGCAAGAGCTGACTTCAGGAAATGCAGGGGGTGCCCCAGAGCAGGAAGATGCAGGGGTCCGGGGCATTTACCCAAAGTCTACGTGTTTCAAACCACCTGCTTATCCCACAAAGCCTTTCCCTTTGTCATTATCAGAGCCACTGCACCCTGGAGGCTGGGATTAAAATACACGCAGTGCTGCTTGGTGTTTTTGCAGCCCTTGGTTTATTAGCTCCAGTTAATTTTTGTTTGTTTGTAGCATCTTTTCCCGAGAGAGCAGAGGGGCTGTCCCTGCATCCCTTCATTTTCCAAATGTATGTGCACTGGATAGAGAGTAGACGCTTCAGCTGCTGCTCCCCTGCTTGGTACAGCTTTCTGCTGTGGTTGCTGACTCTCACAGTGCCACCAACATCCCTGTGATATTTTTGGCTGCTTTCGAGCCCCGGCTCCTGGAGAGGTGGTTATAACAGCAAAGCCTCTATGACCATGCGGAAAGGAGGCACATGCTAAAAACTGCAAAGCAAAGGGGGGATATTAAGAGCAATGAGGTGTATTTGGGTGCAGAGAGAGGATTTAGGAGGGGGCAGAGATGGTCCGCAGAGATGTTCCCCAGCCATGCCTTCAGACAGGGCACAGATTCATATTTTCTGCATGCCTGGAAGTGACTGGGGCAGACCAGGCCTTACTGACTTAAGCACCAGGCTGCCCCATTAAGGCATGAGCACGTGTATCTGTTTGGGCAGCGTGGGCATGGCAAGGCTTGGAGATATTGGTACCAAAAAATGGTCCCTGGGAAGCTTTTGCTTTGCTAATGTATACAGCCCCAGTCCCTAACAGCTTCGTAGCAACTGTGCACCCACCTTAGGGAGCAGGGACTTTGTTCTACTCCGGCAAGAGAGAAAATAGGCAAGAAGGCAAGCAGAACACCAGTGCTGTGGGATAAAAGAGCATTAATGCCATTAATATCCAGCAATCAGAATTTCTTAGAGAGAGAACAGTAACTGCATCCCCTTCTCTCCTGCTCATCCCTTGCTTGTTTAATGAAAATCAGAGACAGCCATTAAAGAGCTGCTTAGCATTTCAATACGTTTAATATCCTCACTGATAAGAGAACGATGGATATTACCAAAAGGCCTTTCTTAAACTCTCCCCTTCTGCAGCCAGCGCTCCTGGCTTGTGTTTGTCTCAATTCCAATTCCAAACCATCCCCTTCAATGAGGAAGAATTATGATAAGATTTTATTTTTTATTTTTTTTTTCTAATATAAAGGATATTAACACACAGCATGACAAGGAAGAAAGGAGAGCCAAGCCTGCCCAGCCCTGACCTTAATTAATCGGGTGCCGATTTGCTCAGCTGGCCGAGGGCCTCCCACAGTCGTGCCCCGTGACAGCTCCGAGCATGGCAGCAGCGGGCAGGCACCGTGTGAGAAATCCCAAATTCAGCTCACTTGTGGCACTGTGGCCACTCCACGGCAACAGCAGGGGAGAAACCCAGAGGTGGCAGAGGTGACAGCGGTGGCAGAGGTGGCTTGGTGCCACTCTGCCTGCTCCCCAGCAGAAGAAGGGACCTGCAGGTTAGGATGCTGCCAGGAAGGGAAAAAAAAAAACAGGGCACTGGGTAGGGAAAAGTGTAGGCTGCCCCAAAAGGAGTGAGACACGGTCCCTGTGGTGGAACTTGTCGCTGCCTCTGGGATGCTGGCATTGCAGGGGTATTGCTGCGGTAGATAGGACAGACGGATAGACAGGCGTCCCGGGGCTATGGGGGCGAGCATCCCACCCCGAGCATCCCCCTCCCCGGGTTTGGGGGCTGTCCTGGCTCTGCCGGCGGCCCGACGAGGGCGGCCCGGTCCTGAAGGTGGTGCTGTTCCCCCGACGGCTCCGACACCGGCCCCAAAATGGGGCTTCGGGGGGGCGAACAGCGGGGACCCGGCTTCCCCCGGCAGGGACACGGGGCTGGGACGGGCCGACATCGGGTGAAAAGCCGGCAGAAACGGGCAATAACTACCGAGGTACGAAAGGAGGGATTAACGGGGAAGCCCCCGAGGGGGGGCTCACCCTAAGACGGGTGATGGTAAAAGAGGCATCGCTGGGCTCGGCTCCCTCTTTTGGTGATCTGCTGTTTGAGCTGTGCTTTTCTCTCCCTGCAGCATCTGTAAATATCCTCCCTGCAGCGTGACAGCCAGGTGTGGGGTCTGTGGGATGTGGTGATGACAAGGGACTCCCCGGGGAGCAGTGAGGTGGCAGCATGCAGTGAGATGGGGGAAGCATCTGGGGGGTGCAGCCATGCCCTAACCCTAACCCTAACCCTAACCCTAACCCTAACCCTAACCCTAACCCTAACCCTAACCCTAACCCTAACCCTAACCCTAACCCTAACCCTAACCCTAACCCTAACCCTAACCCTAACCCTAACCCTAGCGTGCCTGGTTCCTAGGGTGTTTGGGGCTCCTGGGCTGCCCTGTGACGATGCCCATGGCTGCACATTGAGCTCTTTTTTTACCTTGTGTGGAAAGGAGCTGTGTTTCCAGTTAGGAGCACCACGGGCTTTTTGCACACGTTTGCATTCTGCATCAGCTCCTGACAGTGCCCAGCCTCCAGGCACACGCACTAATTAGGTGCAGGTAGCACATCCTGAAGGCAAATCCAAGAGCCCAGTGGATGCCCAGTAGCTGTGGGCACCCCCACAAGACCTGGATGGCTCACATACCTGGGCTGGGGTGGCACCGGGGGCTGGAGAGCCTGTGCTGTGGGTTGTTGTGTCTGGGTTGTGCTGAAGGTCCACAGGGTCCTTGTATTAAAACATCACACTGGGAGTGGATACCACACAGCTCTTCAAGGCCAAAGCTGGCTTCTGCCTCCCCAGAGGTTAATTCCAGAGCTTGGGACTGAGGTGGTGGCGGTGTGGGTGGTGTGAGATGTCGCTGTCTGCCTGCCACAGGGCCACTGTGTCCTCCCCACGGCCCTGCGTCAGGGCCCTGAGCCGTGCTGCGATCCCGCTGATGACAGGATCTCTCCAGTGCTGTCTGCAGACGGACAGCTTCCCAGGCAGCCAGTGCAAAAAAAAAAGCTGGAGGGACCTCGTGCCCCAGGCCGTTCCCAGGTCCTGGTGATGAGTGCTGCAGACAAACCCTGCAGGCATGATCCTGGGTGACTGAATGGGGAATTGTTGCGATCCTGCTGTGAGCTGGGCAGGTACAGCCCTGCAGGGAGCTCCTCTTGCTCCAGCACGTAGGAGGCTGCTGGCAGCCCTGGGCTCTGTCATCTTGGGGTGCCCCACCTGCATCTGTAGGGACCACGCTGGGCTCCAGGGTGGGATGAGTTTGGCCCAGGGGGAAGAAGATGGGTAGGTGGAGGGCTCGTGACCACACCGAGTCCTCCCTGAAGCCCTTAAGTAAGTCTGGAGACATGGAGGGGGGAGATTTTGTTCAAGAGATAGATCAGACCTGGGCTGACACTTGAGAGAGGGGGAAATCCATCTTTCCTCACATGCCTTTTCCTGAGCTGCCATCACACTACGGCCTACCCAGCCACGAGCACACCTAAGAGCAAATAACACCTCAGGTGCCATAGGTGGGGGTCAGCACCCATGGTAATCGTGGGCAGGTGTTGGTCAGCACTCAGGAGGGGAAGCATTCACGCTGTCGACAGATGCTGAGTGTTAAATGCTGGGCAGGGTACTCACCTGCCTTGGCATCTCCAAATGGGAAGGAGGCAGAGGCTTCTTCTCCAGGGGGTATGCTCAGTGCTTGAGGTGGCCCAGACCCCCATGCAGGGCCCCTTTACCCACAGCCTGGCCTGGCCCACCTCGGTGAAGGAATTGTGGGGGTCTGTGTCCCCCCAGGATCTGCTTTTGAAGAGGATGACCCTGTCTCATGTGGGTAATTAGCTATAATCAGGCTGGTTGCTGTCAGCCCTGGCTGTGCCGTCCCCTGCTCCCACAGATGAGCAGGGGTCCCTGGCCCAGGACAACGTGGCCTGAAAAGCACCGAGGCAGGGATGCTGCCCATCTTCCTGACCCAAAAACATGAGAGGAACACTTGCCAGGGGGTCTCATCCTCTGGGTGCACCAGGACTGAAGGGCAACCCCGTTTCCCTCCACATGTGACTATAACCGAGCACATGCATCCCATTTTGCCGGCTGGGGGGGGGGGAGAAACCTCAAAGCTTCTCCTCTCTGTCCCCACGGCCTGGGAGAGGAGGCTGGAGCCACCATCCTGCAGGCTGGGCCAGGACAGGGAGCAGCTGCAGCGCTGGGCCACGGCGCAGGCTGGCGGTTCGGCTCTGACAGCAGCAGGACAGGAGCAGAAAAGAGCGACGGGGAGCAGGAGCAGCGCAGGGGCTGCTCAGCAGCAAGCACAGCATGACGAGGGAGGGAGGAAAAGAGGATGGCCGGAGAACAGAGCCCGCATTTGGGATGCTCCGGCTGGGTACAGCATGTGTGCGTGTGGAGCAGGAAGGGGGGCTCGCTGCAGAGCCCACCCACCCCATTGGCTTGCGAGCAGTGACAGGCAGGCTGCGCCCTCCCCGCCGAGCCTCTCGCCTGTGTGGATGCGAGCAATGTGCGCAAAGTGCCTGTGCATGAGCCGCCGTGTGCTGTAGCTCCGGGCGCTCGCTGGCAAAAAGGTGCCAGGACAACCCCAGCTGCCCCATCCCGCAGCCGGTGGCCCCGCCAGACCATGGCATGGGCGCAGGGGGATCTGACGTCCTCGCTCTCCATCATCGTCGCCTTGGCTGCCTGCCTGTCTGCCACCACCAGCGAAGGTAGGGAGTGGGGTGGCCTTGGCGTGACGGGGCGGCGTTGGGAGGGACACCGAGGAGCGATAGGGTTGGGGTGTTCGGATGTGTCGTCAGGGGCTTGCGGGCAGGAGAAGCTCACTTTGCTGGGCTTAGTTCTCCCTGCTCTCCGGGGAGCTGAGCTCCGGGCTCCTGCCTGCCCGAGTTTGCTAATCCCAGAGCTTTTTGCACAGAGGCTAAACTTCGAAGCCTGGGCAAGAGGACTCGATCTCTGCAGCAGCACCTGCCCGCTCTGCCTGTCCTCCCCTGGAAGGGCTCTGCTGCAACGCGCGGGGGTGGCTGTGGAGGGGACCAGGCCACAGGAGCCAGCTCAGCCATGGTCACCTCCATGGAGGCAGCTCGGGCGTACGTGCTGGCGGTGCAGCTGCGGCACCGTGAGCGGGTGGGCACGGCAGGGCCGTACGGAGGGCGCGGGAGCTGGGAGGGCACTCGGGTGGTGAACTGTCCTGAGGGAAAGGGCTGTAAACTTCTGAAGTGGGAAGCAGGGAGGCAAGGATCCTCTCCCAGCGTCTGTGTCAGCACTGACAGGCCCACACCCGTGCTCGGGGCCAGCCCGTGCTGGTTGCTCAGCCCTGCTCCTGCGGCTCGGGCCCCCTCAGCTTTGGCAGCGCCGCTCCCGTGGCCTGTCAGCCCTTCGCTTGTCTCCTTCCGTGCTGGCAGCGGTGTGACTGCTTCCTGGGGCTGCTGATCTTCATCACCCGGAGATCTGCTGTTCCCACTCCTGAGCGTGTCCTTGGCACCGGCAGCAGCATCCTTCCTCCCTCCTGCTACGCCTGAGAGCCATGGCCAGCACGGCGCAGCCCTCCGCAGTGAGCCCCGGTGCTGGCGTCCCTTCCCGCGGTGTCCCTCCTGCTCCCTGCGGCCCTCCCGGCACGCCGAGGCCCACGGGCTGCCTCGTGCCCTTTGTGGCACCCAGTCGGGCTCTGCTCCTGCTCCTGCTGCCATCTCCCCACGCGCATTCCTTCCTCCCCTCCCACCCATCTTGCCTTCCTTACCTGTACCGATGGTTTCTAGCTACCTGCTGGTGCCAACCCCTTTTTCTGCCAGCTGCCCACGTCCTGGCACTCCTGCTCCTTTCCTGCCCTTGTGCGGTCTGCGTCGGGCTCTCGCTGCTGGGGGATAGCTTTGTGGGGGTAGGAGGGGATCCTGGCCGCCCTGAGCCCCTATTCCACACCACGGCAGCTGCCCCATGCCCCTGGCCCAGGGCTGGCGGTGGTGCAGGACGCTGCTGCCGGGCTGGATCCTGCACTCCCTCAGCCTCCTGGCACTGGCACGGGGAGCTGCAGTGCTCCGAGGGGAGCAGCGGCCAGCCTGAGCTCGGACAGCCCCGGGCATGGGCAGAATATGAGAGGCCAATGGCTTCTTGCTTTCCTCCGTTCCTTGGGTGGTGAAGGGAGCAGAGAGGGGAGCTGGAAATTCGGCTCTCTGTAGGATGCAGGAGGCAGGTATGCAGAGGAGGAGAACAAGTTGCCAGCATCCTTCTGGTGTCTGGGTACAACCTCCTGGGCTGTTCTGGCTTGCCTTGCTCTTGCTCCTGTCCCTGTGCCTGCCCCAAAAAAGGGGCAAAGCCCAGAGATGCAGAATAGCAGAGCGCAGGCCTGCGCTGGGGCTGTGTGGTTCAGCTCGGCCTGCGGCTGTGCTCTGAGAGGGGACAGTGCCTCCTGTAACACACACAGGCAGCCCCTCCTGCCTATAAGGGAGATCACTGGCTGCTGGCGTGGGTTTTACAGCACCTACAGGGGTAGCGGTGCCCCTGGCTGCGAAAGACCTGGGCTTTCCGCAAGATATTTGGAAAGGAAAGCTAGTCTCTAGCCGTGGGAAGAGGAAGGGGGATGAGTGGGGCATGGGGTGAGCAAGGCAGTGTGGAAGATGCAGCAGGATGGCTCCAGGCTGCAGCGGTGTCAGGATGAGGCATGGAGCCCAGCAGAAAGCCAGTGGCACTCCCTCCACTGCCCCAAGGATGCCCGACCCTCTGCAGCCCCGTGGCGGCGTGGTGCAGTTTGGCATCCGCTGGGCTCGGCCATACGGGCAGAGAAAAGCCGGGGAGGTGGCCTTGGGATCCCCAGCACCCCGCGGATGGGTGGACAAAGACACCAGCACCAAGGCCACTGCTGGGCTAACACGGGGCTGGCAATGGGGACGCGGGGAGGTCACAGCATGGCCCCGAAGCTGCCCAGCCCAAGGCTTTGCTGCCCTGGGCACAAATGTGTTGGCTGCAGTGCTGGCCACAGCCACAGCGGGAAGGGGCTGCTTCCTTCTGTGCACCCCAACACACCCGTCCTTGTGTACAATCTGCAGGGTGCAAAATTTTACAGCTGCAAAGCAAAGGGAAGGCCGGCGTGTGCTGTGCTCCGCATGCCCGTGTTGGGTGGCAATTGGTACGTTGAGATGTGCGCTAACTTGAAGAAACGGCCTTGATTTTCTTTCCCTTCCAAAAGTTCCCAATGCCCTTCTCTTTCCTGAAAAAATATTATTTTTTTTCCAAAATGTTTTGAGCTTATATTTGTCCCTTTTTTTTTTTTTTTTTTCAGCGGGTACCCTGGCAATGGGAGCTGGTGGTAAAAGGGGATCGCCGTTCTGTGGGAAATGCCCACATTTCGGTGCGGCAGCCATTGCAAAATGCATTGAAAGCCAAACCGCAGATATTTCCTAGAGAGGGGAAAATCCGCAGGATATGGAATATTTTCTTTGGGAGCATTGAAAAAAAAAAAGTGTTTAAAATTATTAAATTGCATTGGAGCACAGAGATAAAAAAAAAAAAAAAAAGTTATTTTCAATATTATGGCAATAGTGTGATAGACTGAAATATTGGCAGTATATACACTGAGTTGCACAGCACAAATATTCACGCGGATATTTTATGTGACTTCCTGAAGTTAAATAATAAAATGTGAAATATCTTTGCTGTATTGAAACAAAATCAAATTAGCGGAATTTACCGCATTTTGGGCTCAGCACGCGTGTGACAAGAGGGTATTTTCTGCTGGAAAATGGCATTTCGCATCCTGCTGCTGGGCTGGGGTCTGCTCCAAGCCGCTGTGCCTGGCTCGGCCTGGCTCAGCTCAGCTCGGCTCGGCTCTCCTTTGCCTCTCAGCTGGTGCAGGCACTGCAGAGGAGATGCTGCAGCACCCGGCGGGTGGACCTGCAGGCATCGCTCCTGGATTTTTGGAGCACGCAGGAAGGGCTGGGGCAGATGAGAAGCGAGGGGAAAGGGCTAGGCGGGGAGGAAAGGGAGGGAATAGCATCGCCTCTGAAATGGCTGAGGTACCTGAAATGTGGCCTTTGGGCAGGGAAAGAAAAAAAAAGGGGACAATTAGGGAAAAAATAAAAAATAAAAAAAAAATGTGGGATTTGGGATTTGTGAAAATAGCCAAAGAGGCCATGCTTAACTGAGAGCCTTACCAGTGGTGGTGGGGCAGGTGAGAGGGGACACCTCGCTGCTGCAAAGTCTGGGGCAGCGGTGGGAGATGCGCAGGGGAAGGTGCCGAGACACCGACACGGGGATGTCTGTCTTTTCACCAGGCCACGGGGCCGGTGCTGGGGTGTTTTTGTTCCTCCCCACAGCAGGGATGGGATGCGCGAGAGCATCGGGGTCCTCGGGAAAACCCAGCGCCTTCCCTCGCTGCCGACGCAGGGGCTGGCGCGCAGCACAGAGCGGGGCTGGTGCCAATCTCCCCTGCTAATCTCTCGATTGTAATCTCATTAATTGCCCCTCTGCTCAAACAGAAAAAAGAGGTAAAACTCATCCGCGTATTTATTCAATGCTCCTTTGCTAGCCCGGCAGCAGCAGTGCCGGATTTGGGGCTGTGGGCTCAGCACCGCTCGGAAAGGCAGAGGAAATGGCTTTTTGCAGTGGTGGAAAGCCTTCCTCCGTGGTGAGAGCAAACAAAAGGGTTTTGGTACAGGAACTTTCGGTGGTGGAGGCTGTGGAGAAGCACCGGTTTGAAGTGGGGAGTTGATTTCAGTTCTGTTTAGAAATAATGATATTTTGGGGCGTGTGATTTTTTGTTTGCTCGCAAAACACTGGTGTGAAGCAAATACTCGCATGGCTGTAGGTGGGCTCGTGGGGAATATGTTTCTGCTCTCACCTTCATTTATGTTCTTCTCACAATAATAGCTTACGAAAATTCTGGAAAGCAAATCCCTAAATTTTCAGGAAAATAATGCAATGCACACAGAACGAGCCTACTTTGTGAGCTTCTTTTTTTTCCCATCCTTGAATACTTGTTTCCTGAATTCCTAGGGGTTTATTTACAGTGAAAATAAATGGGAACCCATTTTGGTGAAGGCGGAAATAGATCTGATGAATCCAAATGTAAGTACAGCAGAAAAGCTGATTGATTACTTAGAGGGACAAAGGAACTTTCTGTTTTGTTTTATTTTTGTTTTGGTTTTGTTTAATTTTTGTTTTGTTCTATTTTATTTTGTTTTATTTTATTATTTTATTTTATTTTATTTTATTTTATTTTATTTTATTTTATTTTATTTTATTTTATTTTATTTCATTTCATTTCATTTCATTTTATGTCTTATTTTATTTTATTTTATTTTTGATTACTGAAAAATTATTAGAAAATGAGATTTTACCTAAAAGGAAAAAAAAACAAACAAACAACAAACGAATGCCCAGAGCCCCTCAGTCAGGGAAGAGGGAGACCTGCTGGGACTGGTGTGTGCCGTGCACACAGGGCTCCTGGTTTTATCCCGACATCCCGACACCTCTGCTCTTTGTTTGGTTGGTTTCTGTGTTTCACTTGTCCCTGCTCGCCTCCGCTCGCCTCGCTGGCAGCTTTCAGCACTCCCTTTATCTCCAGAGCAAATCCATTCATATGATAACTCTATTCATACCCTGACAGTTTTTGATAGTTCGTGCTCCTAACCCGGGCTGTTAGCATGACCAGTGCTCAAAACTGCTCTTCTGACCCCGAGAAAAAATTAACCCCTTCAGCCCTGGTTGTTCAAAAGTG